AAATCCCACATTCGTCAATCCTGTGAGTTGTAGGTCAGCCCTTATCAAAGGCAACTTGGCTAGACGAGTAAGAAAAGTGTTAAGCAAGTTACATCGCCGAACTATGTGCCAGGCAAATCGTTTATAAACGATCAAGAAGCATTTAGCAGAGTTCGGATCGATATAAAACGATGCAGAAAGAGCAGAATCGCCGAGAGTAGAAGACCAGTCCGGAGAGAAAACCGGCTTTAAACAAACTCAGCTGAGAATGAGCGAGATGTAGAATAGAGAGGGCTCTTTGGTACAGCTAAATTGAAAAGTTTGAAATAAGCACGACAGATGGACTTTCGTAGCATTTAAGGATTTAGTTTTTTTCTTTATGAAAAGTCTTCGTTATATTACTCTCAGATTCGGTGAGGTAGTATTCTGAAAATTTACGTAACTCAGTGGAAGTAGAAAAAGTGAGTAACCAATCTCCTTCCAGACTACGATGATAAGAAGCGACGGCTAATGCGAACATAAGTGTGTGGGTTGCAAAGAGCGTTTTATCGCTGCACTGTTTGTTGGGGTCATATCGCACATACGCAAACGCTATAACATGGATATGTATTTGTTTTACCATTGAGATGCCGCATGTTGATTTAGCAATAACCAAACACATGGAGAATAATCCTTAAAAATGCATTAAACAAACATGGGCTCACTAGGTCAAAATCGGGCGCTCGTGGCCGAGTTTTCGTAAATCCTTTAATGGTTCCTTTTGCTTTGTCTACGAGAGATTCACGTCGCACGTAGTTCGACGGTACGAAACCCACGTTGTTGGAGTCGTTGATCACCTGCAGAAACAAAAAGCCTACATCAAGAATGTGATCCGAAACAAGTTGATTCAACAAACAAAATTAGCAAGCAGCTAGCAAAACTGGATGGCTTTGATATCGTTTGTATAAATAATCAGTAAATTTGCTAGATTCACCTACCTTCCACCAGTTTTTGCTGTCATCAAGTAACCGGAGGCGCTCATTTTTCTTGATTGTGAGCTCTTGTTCCTCTTGTGCCAGATAATCATATTTAACGATGACGTAAGAAACATCTTCGGACATCGCAA